CACCACTGCACTCTACTCTCAGCAAGGAACAATATAGGAGGAAGAATGAATGTTTTTGGTGAGGAATTGAGGGAGTTGAGTTGTGCTTAAATAGGCCAGTGGAGAAGAAGAAGACACAGGCTTGGTTGCTTCCGTGATTGTGCGGCGATTTGGAATCGGCGTAATTGAACAGGGCGCCGTTTGGTGTGTAGTCCCTGATTGGGACTAATATTTGGTCCCAGTTAGGGTACACTTTTTGTTCCAACTTTCTCCAAATTGAAATCCGATTGAACCGTTGGGATCAGACAGTCAAACTCTACACATTGATATAATTTTCATTATTTATTGACAAACTTTAGAATTTACTTATTTTTGGGTCCTTCTCAGTAATTAATTAATTATAAATTAATTAACTCTGATAGGCCTATTTTTGGGGCGTTACAGAATGAGTCACCCGCCTAGAGCATCACCACTTCTCGCGCTCCTACCGTGGTCCCCGTCACAGCACGTCCGGTTGACTTTGAGCTTGTTCTTTTTTTATTGACTATGCATTATCTTTGAATGTTATGTAATGTTTTATGTTGTATGACATTGAATTTTCTTTGCTTATGATTGTTGCTTATGGTGCTTTAGCTTTCTCGTGCCTTGTGTTTGTATGGTTTTGCAATTTTGTTCTTGAAGTCCCTTTGGCATAACTAGCATCCTTTTGTAAGGGAAACTATTGCAAATTGTTTACAAGATTTTTTTGTATCCTCTTTTTCTAAACCTTTCATAGTTTGAGGGGGAAGCCTTCTTTTGATAATGTCAAAGGGGGGAGGATAATTGAGAATCGTTTTCCGCTTATATCTCCGATAATTCCCACTTTCTTTTGTATAGGGGAAATCCACTCAAAAGGGAAGTGTTTCTTGATTTCCTTTGCTTTTCTCAACTATGGGTTGTCATTATCAAAAAGGGGGAAATTGTTAGATATGAGTTCAAACCCCTTTAGATATTTTTTTGTGTTATTATTTTTCAGGTTTTGATAAAAGACAAACACATCAACAACCATATTTTATATATATCAAGAAGGCAAAGAAGCATATCAAGAAATACAAGTCGATTAAACAATGTTCAATCCCTAAACAGTTGTAGAAGTGCAAGTGAAGTTTTTCGAATTTTTTATTTATTTGAGTCGTAGGAAAATCTTGTAAGGATGAAAAAATATTTTTTACTCAAAATAAAAAAAATTAAGAGGGTCATAGATAAAAAATTGTCAGTTGAAAAATAAAATTTTCTCTGTCCACAAATATCTCTTTTGAGTTAGTTACAAAATGTGTGTCAAAATTATTCTTAAACAACTTTTTATATATATAAACATTTTTTCGGTAAGAAAATATCTATTAAAATATTTTTTTGTACATCGTTTGACACACAAAATATTTTTGGGTCTCATTTCCACACCCAAATTATCAATTCTTCATTCAAAGTATTTGAATTACTTTGATAGTGATTGGGAGCCTTATGTACTCTCCTTTGTGTTGGGAACAAAAGGATTTATACAAAAATCCTCCATCTCCTTGCACATGGCTGTTTTCTTGATGTCTGTACATTGTTCGTGTTAAAAATCAATTATCCCACTTTTTCAAAAATCGATTTTTCATCTCATGCACATAAGGGTTTAGCCCAAGCATTAAAAATTGATTATTCACTTTCAGGAATAATCGATTAGCATTTTTCGCACATAAGGATTCTCAGGTAGAGCCGGCCTCCTAATCGATTATCCTCCTTATGCCATAATCGATTTTTTGTCCGTTGCACCTCTTCTAAAGCATTATCTTTTGCCTTAACACAGACATATCTCTTCTACAGCTATATAAACCCTCTTCTACCTTCATTATACTCACCAATTCAAGCACTCTAAACACTCCTTGATCACATATCTATTGCTCAATCATCCTTCTTCAAAAAGATTATTATTGTGAGAGTAAAAAAATGTTTTCTTGAGTGAAAATACTTTGTCATTCATTAGAGCTTACATCTTTAAATACTACTTGCTCAATTTTGTGAACTTTTCATTCTTGTGTTGTTGTAAACTCAATATTTCATTTGAGTTTAAGGTTGCTAAGACTTGTGTGACTCAAGTCTTGTTAGTAAGAGTTGAGGCTTGTGGGATTCAAGTTCTAAAGTTGTAAAAGGTTTTTCAAGCACACATTGAAGCTTGAAGGTTAGTAGGACCTTTGAGAGAGTCTCTCGGAGGACTAGACTAACCACGTGGTGGTGAACTAGTATACATCGCGGTGTTCTTCTTCCTCTCTACTCTTTACTTTATGCCTGCAAGTTTTACGCTTTATTTTATTTCTCGCGAAAAACACTCATTCTAGACCACAACTCTATTCACTCTCCCTCTAGAGTTACATCTCTTGTATAACATACAATTGGTAAGGGTTGAAACTATATCTTACCTTGAGTTCTCTACTTCAATGGAGGTTGAAGAACTTTAAAGGAGGTGGAGATACAAACCTGCGGGGATTCTTTCAATTGTTCAGGTGAATGGATGAAGGAATTGGGGGCTACTTTAATGAAGAAGGTGCATGGATGTTGGGGGAATGTATCAAGTTCAACCACCCAATATTCCAAGTGAGGTGACTCCCCATGTTCGGTAACCTCTCAATATTGAGGTGTGGATTGGTACAAGGAGATGTGCTCCGATTTGAGGCTTTTATATAAGAAATATTTGCAAGACTTGATTAAAATCTTGTTCCATAAGAAATACTTTATTTGCTTATATTTCGTATTATTTGCCAAACGGAGTCAGACTTTGATACTGGTCGCGTTTTTAAACTCAGAGAAATAAATACAATCTAAAGATGAATTTAAAATATTTTTTCAAATATTTTTATTTTTTAAGCCTCTAGGCTCGCACAGTCAAAATTGACGATTTAATTAACTTATTCTTTTAGACTCGTGGCGTTACATAGGGTATCTCGCAAATACAACATCATTGAGTAGTGTGTATCCATCTTTCTAAAGAGAAAATGTTCATATACTAGTGGAGCCCAAGCAACATCATGAAGAGATGGATACAATGTATTTCCTTTGTCCCTATTAATTTTTTTATTTGGTTTTTACGATCTTTAATGCAATACTTTGATTATCAATATCTTTATTTATACATAGATATATATTATAAACAAAAAAACTTATTGATATTACATATATATCACAATTCGATATTTTTTGTAATTTAATCTTTAAATTCAAACGGGGAAAATTCAAAGAGCCCGGTTCCATGGCCACTGGATTCCAGTGGCCACGGAAGCCACTGCCCCCCTACGGAGCTCCGTTCATAAAATTGATGATTCATACCCCTCCTAACCGCTCCGGTAAACCCCCCCGCCAAGTCTCGACCCAAACTAATCACCCAATTTACGTCAATTGCACCTCGTAAATATAAAGTCAAAACTTTTGACTTTAAAGTCAATTATACTTACGAGGTGCAATTGACGTAGGGGGATTAGTTTGGGTCGGGACTTGGCGGGGGGTTTACCGGAGGGGTTAGAGGGGGTAGGAATCATCAATTTTATGAACGGAGCTCCGTAGGGGGGCCGTGGCTTTCGTGGCCACTGGAATCCAGTGGTCATAGAACCGTGCTCAAATTCAAAAGGAGTGAAGGGAGATATGGCATGACCTCTTGAGTATAGTTTTTCTACTTACTATGTATTATTTCTTCTTATATAAATCAGATCAAATTAGATAAGTTTTTATCAGATTAACCACAACTTTAAATTACACTATATTAATATCACATCAAACTTGATCAAAATTAAAAAAAAAATTATATACTAAGAACTAATGGGAAGACCTATAGTCCCATATGTGATGATTGTGAACTCTAAAAATTTTAGTATCCGTCATTCCCATTACACCGGCCCAATCTTCTTAAATTATAATTACTGATGATCATAAAGACTAGGACCGAAAAAATTGATCGAAATAGATTGGTATTGAGACTAGAAAAGATGGGACCAAAGTGGTCCTTGAGACTGATCCAGTCTTGGACCGGTAGTCTCATTTGATCCTTGATTTTTTATGAAAGGTTAGACCGGTCCTGAATAGGGTAGTCTTTTTTGAAAGACAAGACTGGAACTAGACTAGGACTAGAGATCTAATGTATTTGAAATATAATTTTTATACATGTATATTTGTACTTTAAATTTAATTTTACATAAATATGGTTATCCCATCAACATAAAGTATAGTACTTACATAGTTTTTCTTAAGAATCACAAATACGGAGTAAGTGATAATAAAAAAATGTCGAGTGTATAAAAGATGCATATTAAGAATTATTGTTTTTATTGATTCTATCCAACTTCCATTTCACATAGTTGCATAATTGTTATAAATCAATAAAATAAAGAAAAAAATTAAATGATCAACATTAGGGTTTTTTAGTTTTTTTATGATTATTTTTTTGGAAAATAAATAATTAAGTATTTTACGTATTAAGGATGGGACAGGATTTGTACCCATCATAAACTACAGGAAAATGTCCCTTTTTCAAGAAGATCTGATTAGTCTGGACTACAGAGTAATTTTTAAAAAAGACAGATCGGGTACCTTTGATCATCTCGAATCATAATCGATCGTCAATTCTTCATCGAGTCTGCGAGCTTAGGGAGTTCTGGAGGCAAGGCTTCGGTTCTTGGACTGCAGGAGCCGCGAGGTAGTGACTTTCATTTGTGCGAGGCTGCGAGCTCCATCGCCAACGCCAATCATTTCTGAAACTCAGCGGTTACCACCTTTGATTCCTTCCAGCCTCCAGGTTTGTGCGACTTCCGTTCACTTTTTTTAAATTGCCGATTCATTTAGTGATGCACAAAAGCAAAGAGTTCTAGGAAATGATCAACTTCCGAAGAACTTGAATGAGGTTTCAGGGATTGAATTTGAGAGAGTAGCAGAAGAAAGAAAGTTTGGGGAAGAGGAAGTTTGATTATCATTCATGCGTGGAATTACAGTCTGTATCTCATGTATATATGAGCAGTTTACAAGAATGAAAAAAAACAGAATCGGTTAGGATTACAACATAGTTATTTAAGGCGTGATGACTGATGCGCACCGATGCACAAAGGACCTCTAGTGCCTCGATGCGCGATGCGCAAATAATGCGCGCATCACGAACATGAGGCGCATATTAAGGCACTGGTAGAATTTCTAGCATATCTACATTAGTGTGTGTGTGTGTAAAATTTCTAGAATATCTACATTAGTGTGTGTGTATATTTGAAAAGCATAATAAAGGTTAAGAAACAAATGTTTAAAAAACAGAATAATATAAAAAACAGAGAACAATATGTTTAAAAAAACAATGAAAAACAGAGAAGGACTTGCCCAATAGAAAGAAGAGAAGCCCAGCGAGAGAAAAAATATCGTAAGGAAGAGAACCGACTTAACCTGCTTCTGCCACTTGCCCAGTAGGTGTGCCGGTTTGGAGAAGGACTTGCGAGAATGGGGAGGAAGAGTCGTACTTGAATCGATGAAATAAAAGAAAGAGAAAACAACCGTTTAATTTGCCCAGTAGGTATGCCGTTTAGGATCGTAAAAGTTGGGAGGGGTTAGTCGTAATAAATATTAGTGCTAATCCCTAAACCTAATTAATAAAAAAATATAAATAAAAAATATGTTCACAAGGCGCGCCTCTTTGCGCATCAATACACTGCTCATATTGCGACAAGGCACAGTAAGGCGCGCGCCTCGTGAACATCGCGCGCATCAAGGTTTGCGATGCACTACTCCTGGCACTTTGTGCGCATTGCGCCTCAGGCGCTTTTCACAACTATGGATTACAAGCTTATCCGCAACTAATTCTTAACAGACTTTCAGCTCATATCTTCTTCTTGTATCAATACCCCCCTTTTGAAAGACTAGTCTTGTCCTCAAGTCTGGAATGAAGGGGACCTGTTCCACTGCTTTTTCCCCCTTTTTGGCCAACCTCCTTTTCAAAATACGAAGTGGAGTAGGGCAGTATGGGCTGGACAACTGTACGATAGGATGTTTATTTGAGAAGCTTTGATGCAAAGAATGATAGAAAATTGACAAAGCTTGAAGAAGAAGACGTTAATGGCAGCAAGAATATGAAACGGAATCAGCGGAAAAATCTGAAGCTGTTATTTCATCTCAACGTCTCAGTACAAAAAAGTAAGGCTTCATATGGTGTGCACTTGATAGTGGTATTGTACCACCATTTAGCCAGACGTAAGTAGGAAATCCATGTGTTAGGGCTCTCTGAACAAAAGCATCTAAGATAAGTTTCTAGAGTTCTATTTAGAACCCCAGTTTGACCATGACCATCTGAGGATGGTATGCAGTGGATCTTTGTAGCTGTACTCCCATTAATGTGAATAGCTCCTGCCAAAACTCACTTAAAATATAGGATCCCTATCACTAGTGAGTGTGAGAGGCAATCCACGTAATTTGTAAACATTATCCAGAAATGATTGGGCGATAATCTCAGCTGTGTATGGATGTTGTAGACTAATGCAATGACCATGTTTGCTTAGTCTGTCCACTATCACCAAAATTACCTCCTTTCCTTGCACATTAGGTAGCATCATACTTATGCCTTTGACTGACATCACATTTGTTGATGAATGGCCTGACATATGGAATGAGATTTCCAATAAAAGAGGGTATGTAGCTTCTTAATTGTGGCTTCCATGCCAGAATGACCCCCTTGTGTGGTATTATGCCACAATTTTATTATTGTATTCCTAAGTTGCTGATTATCTCCCATTACCAATATGCCCTTCCACCTTAGTTGGTTGTTGCTCCAAGTAAAAAATTTGTAGGGTTGAAGCTGCAATTTAGGGAGAAGACCTTGTAGAGCATTATCCTTTTGCCAAGATACCTTGATGTCATCAAACAAGGCCGAATCTTGAGTTATAAGGGATATACCCAATAGTTCAGCTTCTGACTTCCTAGATAGAGCATCTGCGACTTTGTTGTCAGTTCCCTTTTTAAATTCAATGGTGAAATCACATGCCATTAACTTTTGTGATTCCAGCCACTTGGAATTCTGTGTGAATGCTATGATCCAATAAATACTTCAAGGCTATTTTCTATTGGTTCTAACTACATATGGTTTCCCCATCAGATAGGCCTGATAGGGAGACCACTTAGTAACATCAAAGATAAGGGTTAGCATTTCTCGACATGGCTTGATATTTAGGTGATAGAGACTTACTGATATAAGCAATAAGATGCCTTTCATGCATTAATACTGCTCATCTACATCTTCCACAGGCATCAATTTCAATGACAAATGTCTTACTATAATCTTGCATAGTTCAGACAAGAGTTCTTGCTAAGGTCTGTTTGAGATTGTTGAAGGCGACAGTTACCTCCTCTGAGAAATGGAATGAATCCTTTTTTAATAACTCATGGAGAGGCCTCCAAAGCTAATGATAAATCTTCTATAATAGCCAGCCAGCCCCAAAAACCCTCTTAACTGTTTAAAGTTGCTAGGGAGAGGCCACTTTTGAATTGCCGTTAACTTCTTTAGGCCGGTAGATACTCTTGCTGCACTGAGATGTAATGACCCAGACACTCCACCCTTGATACCCCAAAAGCACATCTAGACATCTTTGCATACAACCGTGAATCCTTCAAAAGACTGTACTAACATGCTCTACATGATCTTCTAGAGTCTTGTTGTAGTATAAGATGTCATCAAAAAATACTAACGCACTTCCTCATTAAGGCTCTTTTTTTAGGTTGAAAAAATGAACTTCCAACTTTTTCCAACTCCTAGTTCCTTCCAACTCCTTCCAGTTTCTTCCAACAATGACTTAAAAAAGGTATTCATATATGATGAACGTACAATAACATTATATATCCAAATTTATAACATACCACCTCAAACACGGAGAAGGATAATTTTTTTTAAATCCAAAATTAGAGTTTTCTTGCATACTTGTTTGGGTGATCATTTAATTGAGTGACTTTTTAACACTTTAATTCTTCCATTATTTTCCAGCTCCTTCCAGTTTCTTCCAATATCCAACTCTGAAATTCTAACCCAAAAGAACATGGCCTAAGTGTCTGAATACAGAATTCGTAAGGGCTTGGAAAGATGATGGAGCATTAGTTAGCCCAAAGGGCAATACCAAGAACTCAGTGTCCTTCGTGAGCTCTAAAAACTATCTTATGAATATTTGTTTCATGCATTCTTAGTTGATGATAACCAGTGATAAGATCTATATTAGAGAATACTACTACACCCCCAATTCATCCAATAGGTCTTCTATAATTGGTATTGGAAACTTATCTTTGATAGTTTGCTCGTTAAGTTCTCTGTAATCAACGCATTGTCTCCAACTCCTATCTTTCTTCCCAACTAGAACTACTGGAGAATGCATAAGGGCTATGGCTATGTTGTATAACTCCTTGATCCAGCATCTCTTGAACTAATTTCTCAATAATGTCCTTCTTGATGCCTGGATACCTGTAGGGCCTTTTATTTACTGGATTGGCAGATTCCATTAGAGGTGTCTTAAGATTAATAACTCCTCTAGATGGTGGTAGGCTTTTTGGAAATTCAAAAATGCTATCAAATTGCTCAATCAACTTGTTAATGCCATTTTTAATTGTACCTTCTTGTATGAAAACATGATAGTTCTGCATCTTCCTTGGTAGTTAGAGTCATCATAAAGAGTTGAGCTCTGTTACTGCAGCCGTTTCCCATAGTTTTCATTCATGTTGCCTTCAATTCACTACTGGCCCCTCTTAAGACATGCTTCTTTCCTTCAAAGTTGAACTCAATTATTCTGTTTTTGAAATGAAACAAGATTCTTCCCAATGTGTGCAACCACTGAACTCCTAGAATAATGTCCATGCTTCCCAATGGTAATAGTAAAAAATCAGATACAAATACAGTACCTTGACTGTATTGATTTAAGTTTGAGTCTGATTTTTCAGTGTATGTTGGATTGTAATTCTGGTTCTGGTCTAGCTTGATAATGTCTGAATTTCGGTTAAAAACTAGCTGATGTGTTGTTTTTGGATCAATTATTGGACCCCCATTTTGTTTGTGATTCTGTGATACTCGTTTTTTTCCGGTCTGGTTTTGGACCAGTGTACATTCCTACATGTAAGTCGTGAATTGGTAGCCAGACATTGCATCAAGTGAATCACTATGGTGTTCGCGTGATAGACTGCAGCCTCGAACACTACCATAAGTTTGCGAGCTCGAATAGGTGGACATAAAAAAATATTCACGCAAACTCCAAACTATCAATATCAACAGATTTTCGTGCACCAACCATTGTTTTAAGTGTGAAATATATAAGGAATAGTGCGTAGGAATATAAAATTATAAATATATAAGGAGAGTATGAGAATTATATAAAATATAAAGAGAGTATGAGAATAATATTATTAATATATGCCAAAGACCTTGTAGTTGAGTGGCATAGCAGTGGCTCTCCTGAATGAGAGGCTATAGGTTCAAATCCCAATGGAGACATTAACCCTATGTACTTCAAGATGTTTAGAAAATCTAATCTCTATAGAAAAATATTACTTTGTAATAGAGTTAAAAGTACTAAAAAAATAATATATGAGAGTAGAGAATAGTGAGAGACGTGAGTGGATATATCTATATATACATAAAGATATTAATGACCAAAGGGTTGCACTGTAAATATTAGTAAGTGTTTAAACAGAATCTAAAAGTTAAATATTTAAAGTATGATCGTTAAACTAACTTATATGTACTCTGGAAAATATATTTTTCCGATTTTAAAACTTTTTTATTTTAATTATTTAAATGATTGTTTGAGATTAAAATTATTGTAAAACCATTCCGGGGGCATTGCCTCAGCAGTTACCAAACAGCTATTAGACCATTTGGTGTGGATCACGCCCATCATGCCATCCCAGTGCCACATCACCTTTTCTCTTTCCCATCACAACCCATCACACCACAGGGGTGTGATTCATGCCCATCACGCCTGATTTTTTTCAATTTTTCTCATTTATTAAAATCAAAATTACTTAAAATAAAAACATTGTAAAATCAAAATGACTTAAAGTAAAAACATTGTAATAATCTTTCATTAACATTAAAATTAAAAATACATTGACATAATGCAAAAAAAAGAGCTATAAATGATGGAAAAATTCAAGTACTTGATTTAAAAAATACCCCCGTCCTTTTTTTTTCTTTGATGTTCTTCATTATACCTATTTTTATTAAAATTACTTAAACTCAAAAATTATGTACTTTATTGTTATTATTTTTAAAAGTACATCAATTTTTATTTTTAAAACAACAACCCAGTTAAATCCCACAAGAGTAGGGTGTGGGGAGGGTGTGTGTACGCAGACCTTGCCCCTACTCGAAAGTAGAGAGGCTGTTTCTAAAGAGACCCCCTGCTCAACGTCGAAAGTTGTATTGCTTGACTAACTGCTACTTCATTAATTAAAGAAGCACAGACAGTTTAGAGATCCATTTTGATTTATTCCATCACACCCCAAAGCCAAAAAATGGTGAAATTTTGGCTCCATCGGAGATGATGGAAATAATTTATTTTTAAAAACCATTCAAAAAATAAATTTCATTTAATTAACCACAAAAACTAAAATTCAAAACAAATAAAAAGTAAAAAACTAAAATTGAAAAGTAGAACAAAATTGAAGAGAAAGAAAGAAGCAAACCACAAACGAAGGAAGAAGATAGAAAAGCAAGAAAGAAAAAAAAGGAAGAAGAAATTGGTCGTGGTGGATGCGATGGCCATCACGCGCATCACGATCACACCAAAGGGTGAGGTTTTCCACGGCTATCACGGGCTGAGGTGGCGCCAGGTGACATTACGGCCCACCATCATGCCACACAAAGCGTTCCGTCTTATAGCGGTCGGTTGGGCAACGGTTACAGCCCCCAATTAACGGACATTTGACCAAAAAGAAAAAAATAGAGTAGTATTAATAGAAGAACCGGACCGCTGATTCTGGTCCTCTGTTTTGAAGGCCCGGAACTGCCCCCTTCCCGGGCGATCTGATCTGGTCCGGTTCCATTACTCCATTTCCGGTTCCAAAACCTAGATTCTAGTTCCAAACCTGTACCATGTCTTTGTATTTTCTGCTCTCTCATATTCTGCATCGCACCTGCCCAAGATCACTATCAGATAACTAAATCGCCTATATCGATTACTGTTTCTCTTTTAGGGTTTAGGGATTCATTGCAAAGAAAAGGATGTCCAGTACTGCCTGTTTTATGATCGTGAGTAGGAATGACATTCCCATCTATGAAGCTGAAGTTGGAGCTGCACAGGTACGAATTCTTTCCCCTATGCAGAAATAACGTTTTCATTGGATTGTTATATGCTTGTTCATCGGTTCTTTTATTCCAAATGTCCTAGGAATTGTTTATTTTTTCAAAACATTACTAATTCCTTCGCTATTAGCCTGTAATGTGGTTATTTGGTGATGGATCAAATCGGCTATTTAATCGGACAGAATCTGTAAAATGTCAAAGTAAGGATATCACTTTTCTATCGGTTAAAAGGATAAAGTATGAAACTTTATGCTCTGTGTTTAGATCACAATTGATATTCAATTTGGTCTAAGTTCAGAACAGTGTGAAGGATTCAATTATTGATGGAACAATAATAGAATTTGCCTCTTTGGCTTATATCCCCCTATATGAAACTACTGGTTTTGGTTTATTCGTTACTGTATGTGTTTGGCCATCTTTCCCAGTAAGAAGAATCCATTTCTGTAGTGGAAATGCATCCAGAGCAAGTACTTTGTTAACTTTTTTGCTTCTGAATTTCATGGCAGAAAGAGGATGCTGCTCATCAGCACCAGTTCATTCTACATGCAGCACTAGACATTGTTCAGGATATGGCATGGACTACCACCGCAATGTGATATTCCAATCCGTGAACCTCTCTCTGTGTGTGGTATATGTGTGTTGGGGTGTCATGTGTTCTTTTCTACCCTTACCTGAAATCACTCTTCCTGTCTATCTTTTTTTTAATCAGGTTCATGAAGGCAATTGACCGGTTCAATGATTTGGCTGTTTCAGTGTATGTCACTGCAGGTCATATCCTTAAATATTGTCCAATTTCATGGAAGTTCCAGTAATTGATTATTGAACTTATGTACAGGACAACATAAGCCATGGGGTTTTTTTATTGCAAAGTTTACTATCAACGCCAGTAAAAAAATTTCCTGAATTTTATAGCTTGTGTCCCGTAAAGCCAACCTTGTCGTTTTGGCTTATTTCCTTTTATCCAAATTATGATATCCACAAACTCTAATTCCATTTTCAATCATGAAGGCCAAGACTTTTCTTGGTTGAGTTCTTTATTTGAATAAATAGCTCTGGAGTTATTTGCTCCTGGTGCTCAATGGCCGCATATACTCAAAATATGGCTTTATTTTATTATTGGACACATCTTTCTGTTTGTTGCTAGCACCTTAATTTATACCTCAAAATTTCTTGCATTGTTTTCTTTGACTAATTAACCATACATACTCGACTGATGCTGCTTCACGATTCTCGCAATGATGATGGGATCAAAAGCTTCTTCCAAGAAGTTCACGAGCTTTATATAAAGGTTTGTTCTTTCTGCTTATCAAGATGGCTTCTCTTTATAAATTGAATTGTGTTGGCAATTTGACATTGATAGCACATTTCTACAGTACTTACAAGGATCTATTATGGCTCAACACTGCAAAACTTTACTTCCCATTTATGACTTCAATGCTAGATGAATCCAGCAATAAGTTGACAAAACTTTATTATTTTAATTTGCAGTCTCTTCTTAATCCCCTCTATTTACCTGGATCACGGATTACTTCGTCTCATTTTGATACAAAGGTCAGAGCTCTTGCTAGAAAGTATCTCTGAAGCTTATAATTGGCTGGAGCCACCAGTGCCCTGAAATTATGCTTGAAAAAATCTCTGAAGATTTTTACAGTAGCGTTAGCATAACACATTTATCTTTGTAACGTGAGAATTTGCTCTTGAAGGTCTTTTTGTGGCCAATGGTCATCTATCAATTGTTTTCATCTTCAAAAAACTTCAGAATTTATTTTGCCCTTTGAATGTGTTGCCTATATTACTACAATCAATATGCAATTGATGAAACTAATTCTCAGTCATATTTGACTATAAATGCCTTTGAAGTTTTGATATCACGTGTTTTGAACTCTGGCCAATGTCATATAAATTTATCTCCATTTCATCGACATGACTTTTTTGAGGGAAAAAGTTTCCGATCTCCGGTATCATATAGAGAAGAATTGAAATTCCGTGCAAAAGATTGCAAAAGTGACATTGTTTCTCTGCTCTCCCTTTGTCCCAATTCATATTTTGCCAGCCCTTCGTTTAGATGGGGGTTTTAAGCAAATATTACCATAAAAGCAAAAAAAATGAGTTCTTATTTATTTTCTCTGTGAGGTTTGAAACGATTTATGGGGGAAAATGATTTATGAGCATATGGGAGGTTCTCCACTGATATGTATCCTATGTTGAGACTTGAAGAGTTGTGTATCGGGGCGTGCCTTTGCAAACACAATATGATATGTAGATCGTGTTTATAGTTTACCCAAAGAAATGAGCACAAGTAGAAATATATGATTATTAAATGCAGAAACCATCTCTCATTTTCACCCAAGAAAAGAAAATTTTCTACTATTTCTCTCCCTCAGATTTCCCCTTTGTCACCAAACATTAAGCTGTGGAAAAGAGCAGTGGGTCACTCCAGACTATAGGTATTGACAAAATGCAGTTTTTCCCCATCATATCCAAAAAATTACATTTCAATAAAAGGAAATGGATCTAGAGGAAAAAAGAGTGCAATTACGCATTACTTACGATACATTTCACATTAAAAGATCCTAATCTTTGATCATTACGATTAGGATCCTTTTCTGCCCTCCCGGCTTGGGTTGTTGTTTAGATCAGCAGGAGGAGGATACAAGTCCCTGTGGCGTGACGAAGGACTGCCCCTGCAAGGAGAAACTGAAGGCTCTGACCTCTTACTCTCTGACTCCAACGCTTTGGCTTCATTAGCTAGCATCTTTAGCTGTCTCGAGATGAAACAGATAAAGTATTTTCATCAGCCACTTGAGATAAATGACCCCCCCAACAGTATTTTCTCAGGACAAAAATCATTCTTGGGATACACTCAAAAGGCATATTAAATCACCCAAAAATAAGGGATATCCGCTTTAAATGTGTTGGGCGTGGAAGGGGGTTAAATTCTGGAAAAGGGCTGTTAAGCAAGAGGAAATGATTCATACCTGAATTTCATTCTCTCTCAAGCGGTCCTGGAGTGCACTGATGGCGGGGCTTAAGCTGTTTCAAATTAAAAGTAATCAGTCACTGAATATATTGAAGAAAAATGAAGAAACTTTAATGAAGATATTGCAAGAAGAAGATTCGCAGGATTTGGATTCTCCATTACTTCAATATGTACAGAAAAAGCCTCTGATATACTCCCTCCGTCCCAGAAAGAATGCCACGTTTACTATTCTGGCCTCTCGATAACTTTTGTTTGTTTACTCGTTTTGGTTGACCATTTGATAAAATAAAATATTCTTGTTGCATCTTGTTTTGTAGAGCTTTTCATATACTTTTGAATGGTGTAATTTTTACTTTTTATTACTCTACCAATTTGAAATTAAAGTGATTTTAAAAGAGATGATATTTTGCACGTCGTTCGAAGTGTTGCAAATAAATTGGGACGGAGGAAGTATAAATTTAAAAAAAAGATAAGGCAATAAACTAAACGACCCTATTAAGAAACTTGCCAAACTGGCAGCCTACCCTACCAAAAATATATGCAATAATGTACGTGAACATATTTCACAGTAACAACAACTCAGAGCACAAAGCACCAAGCCAGAAGAGTAAAAAGATGTTTACCAATATTCCATCAATTTGCACATGGAAGCCTGATACGTGGAAGTATGATGAATGAAAGTTAGAGGATGCACTTTCCCACTCCTGAACAAGATTTATCACAACAATAAGAAGAATTGAAACTTGAAAGCGCTTGGTAGCATCTAGCAAAGTTATTAACACAAAAAAACGGTGCTAGCTGTGACACCTCATGTTCTGTGCAACTGCTTGATTATATGCAGTCTGTTCCTCTTCATATAGTACACGTTGCAGATCGGTAAATGAACTCAAAGGTGCATCAAGATTTAGAAGCGATGAGGATGGCATAACAAGAAGAGGAATTTCCTTCCTGACAAACTCTGCACCACTGCCAGGCAACAAAGAGAAAATGTTCTAAGATTAACATATGAATCCTACAGTGCTATTGAGTGAGAGTTTCAGATTTGGTAATGTCTAACAAGGTGAAAAGGCAAGCAGATGAATGTTCAAAAGAACATTTGATATTATAATAAGAATAATGATTATTATTATTATATTAATAATATGGAGTACATATTTATGAAACCATATTTATTGTGACAAACTGTTCATACTTCACAAAAGACATAAAAGTGCCAGAACTGTTTATGATTTACTTAGAAACATAAACGATGCTCTTAGCTAGTATATTCCACTTAATGAGAAGGAACCACATCCCTACCCCCTTCCCCGGGACGCAAAGAATGATTGAGATATCAAATGCTCATTATTTGAATATGGCATAACATCAAGGTGCAGGTTCCAGTAAGTAAAAAGAAGATACAGAACAATGAAGTAATACTCTTAATGTACCTCATCTCCATATTTGACAAGTGCATTGCTTCTTGCATACTTTCTGACATATCCATGTGATCTATCCCAATAGTTGCACTACTGGATTGGTTAGTATGCAAGCTTTCTCCTGTCTTGGCTTCAACATTAGCAAAGAAACCCCCCAAGTCTGAGGTTCTTACCAAGGCCTATTAGAGTAGATGTGGACAGAAGACATAAATTGGATGAAAGGAATATATTATCTTAAGATCACCAAGCACGTGAGTATTACATTCAAATTTCAAAAGGAATCACAAAAGTGAAAGCAAAAATAATATTAAGTCAGGAACAGCATAAAATGTATGGAAACTCAGAAGGAAGCAATGGAATCATTTTCCCTTTTCTGTGAATAAATACAGAAACCTATTTTGTAGGAGGGAACTGAGATGCATTTCCGAAAATTCTGTCCTTTATATATGAGAACAAAAAATGTTTCCCATTTTTTTAGATGAGATACAAATTTTAAGTTTATATGTACATACCCTTATACAGTTATTTACAGGTTTCCCTGGAGTTGGTGTCGTACATGTTTCGAAAAATGCAACCCCGGACTATTTCTTAGTGAGTTAGTGACTCATCATGTTTCCTGTTTCTAATGTCCATGCTGCAGAGACTATCTAAGGCAGTAGTCTCAATAAAAATACACCATTTGCACAAAAGTGTCCCGTTTTGAAACTTTCTAATCCAAAAATGTCATATTTCAACAAATTTAGCTTGTTTTTCATCTGATTTCCCAAAAAGAGTCATACAAATTAAATATGAATATGATAAGTATAGCTAAACAAACAAACTGAAAGACATATATTTCATTGATACCAATAACAGTTGTACCACACAAAAATTGAAAAGGGGTTTATTTGTCAAACAACACTATGTTTTCTGGCACTCCTTTCGTTTTGCTATTTTTGTAACATGAGGTACGCAAATTAAGGTAGAATGATTTGGTTGATAATGACACTAAAAATTAAGAAAAAGTAAGAATGAACAAGAACCAGACAGAGGCAACAAATTTTTTTAAAATACGGAGTATGTGATTCCCTTGCTTGCCTACACGTTTTAGAGTAAAGAAAATGAGTAGTAAAAGAAGACAAACCACAAAGACAAACCCATTAAAATTCCATAAAAATGGGGCCTGGGGAGGGTGTGTGTATGCATACTTTACCCTACTCGGGAGTAGAGAAGCTGTTTCCAAGAGACTCAGCTCAAATAGACACAAATAAAGACATAAAACACAGCAACTTATGAAGAGTAAGTCATTTCACATCATAAAACTTTACAATATATGAATATTTATCGTTAAAACATGATCAAGTTTTACTGCAAAAACTAATAACTGTTAATATAAATTAACAAAGAGAATTTAAACTTTATTTTTGTCAAAACCCCATGTTAAAGATCTACTCCCTAAATTCAATTCATTTCAGTACAATACTTTTTCTTAAAAAATACCTTGTCCCAAGATTATGTTATGTGTTTAATTTGGCACACTTCTTAGTGAACTGTGAAAGAGAAGTTATTTTGGCTATAATTTATTTAGTAGAGAGAGAGAGAGAGAGAGAGAAGGTGAACCACATGATCATAATTCATGAAAAGGGTTGATGAAAACAAATACGAAACATTGGAAAACAAGAACAAAATTAAGGATTTTTTTCATTTTTACTTCTCTGGTCAAAGTAATCTTTTACTAAAAGTTTTATTTTACATATTTTAGTGAATGTTTCAAACATTATTCTTTTACAAAACAGTTATTAAGAAAAAATATATACTGGCATTAGTTTTAAGGCAATGGTCTTTTGACATCCGCCCTCGGTGTCATGACACTAAGCCATTTGGGAGTCCTACAATAATAGGGTGTCTTTTGACATCGGACAGAAGACATTGATGAATTTAAAAATAATAATGAACCCAAGCCTCTAACAGGTTACAAACCAAATCCAAATCCTGAGGCTAAGTTTACTTTACCCACTTCCAAAACAGCCACCAAATGACCAAATAAATGACAAAAAAAGAGATAAAATTTCCCTTTTGGTTTTTGGAAGAAATTAAAAAAGAGAGTTGAGAAGAAAAGAATTGAAGAAGCCCATTCCACAAGAACAACTATAAAATGTTAGCACTTCATCAGGGAGAGGATAAAACATCAAAAGGGCTACTTAATGCTCGAAGGATATTGCAAATTTGCAATTGAACATAACCTATAAAGAGATGAACAAAGTTACCTTAGAAGTTGAAATAATTGCTTTTGAATCACCAGTGTCTTGCTCAAGACTATCTCCTCTAGTGGAAGCTCTTGCTGATGTCTCTGAGGAACTTGGAGATGATTCAATATCTATTATGGAATTTTTATGTACAGGGGAAAGAGGAACTGGTTTCAAAGCATGACTTTGTTTTCCATCCAAGGACTGAAATGCAATAACCTGAATTCTTCCAACCTAAAAAGAAATTTAAATATAAAATTTAAACTTACTTTTCCATAATTGATGTTTTTAACTTCTTTCTATACCATAGATACAAACCTTGTGTGCATCTTCACTAAAACACGAAAATATCAATCCGATAAATCCAGAATCCAGAAGTTGATACATTGCTTGGGTGCGGACATCTTTGTATTTGTGACAAAGAAGAAAGGGTAAGGAGATTAATATGTTTTTCAGAGGATAAAAAATAAAAATTAGAAAGGACAATGTACTCCAAATGGCAGAATCCAGCCTATAAAAATATTCACCTAGAGAGAAAAATTCCTAATTTTGAAGCACTACCAACATAAATAATTTACACCTGCCAAACATCCCAATCACATATATTCTTATGGCCATGCCTAGATGGGACTCGTGGAGGGAGTGGAAGTTGACACAGACTTTTAGACACTTCCATTGCTAAAAAGACAATGCTGAGGAGTAGAGCATAATTCATTTTTCTGAAAGTGGGTCCTTAAGACTAGGATATATGGAAAGTAGAAAGCTGTGAACATCACACAAGAGTGTCCCATATGTCAAGAATATAAAGCAAAAAATGATGTCTGATGTGTTACTTAAAAACTGACCAACGTGTGAAGGAAGGACTGTAATATGAGGATGTGAGTGGTACCAGCCAATCACTCTTGTTGTTCTGCCTGTTGCCACAGTCATTCTGTGCTATAGAGTTAATTAAACGAAAGGCAAAACAATTGATGACATTAAATCACAACATGCATATTCATCATGTGAACGACATCACATAAATAGTTAGAGTGTGGAGCCATACATTTACCTTTTCTCTTTAGTTTGTGAAACATACCCCAGAGTAAAAAGGTTATCATGTTCCATTATGTCCATGTTGATTTTTTTTACTACTAATTTTGCAATGACATATGACTTGAGCAACATTGAGAGTTTCCTTGTACGTGAAATTTATGATGCTGAAAGTCTGAAATTAATTTCACTACGATTTGTTTAGAAGATTGCAACATAAAAAACCATCTGACATAAAACCATGCCACAACAATTTTTCATGAATTTATTGTGTTCCTAAAGTTAGAGAATCAATTCAGACTATAAATTTCATGTCAACAACCCCATTGTAATTGTGATTAACAACTCACAGTGAGGGATGTGTCCCAATAATGACACAACTCTACAACAATAAACTCATTAACATTGATAGAGGGGGAAAGATGGGGGAGCTCAGGAAAATTTCAGACACTTGTGCATACAATATGAAGGATATCTCAGCTTGAACAGATGCAGCAGTCAACTGCTCGGGGTTAGTCTCTACCCGGTCCTTCCGGCGATCAGAACGTGGTTGTGGCAATGCTCCCCAAACAAGTGCTGTTACACTACCATTTTTTGATTGCTAGCAAAGCAACAATAATAATGTTACTCGCATGCATAATAAACATTAAAACATATAATGCTTCAGTTGTAAATTACGTAATATGGAGTGTGACATATGAGTGGGGGTAACAATAAAAAGGAAACTTGAGGGCTATTTACTAACTGGAAAACTTTTATGTATATGGAAAACTGGAAAAGATAGAATAAAAATATGTTGAACTTATCTAATTCCTGAATTCAGAAAAAACATTACTTCACCAGTTTTTCAACTATAGAAAACAGAACATATTATTGCAAGCATGTCAGTTTTATGGTTAACAGGCTGAATTATTTGGCCCTGAAAAGTCCCAAGTTAGCAAGTCATAAGCACATAAGGTGGGAGGTGAATAACATGAACAAATGTTAATTACGGAGTACAATATACTGGTGGCATCCTTTTGAAGTATATCATTAATATGTAAAGGTCAAGTAAGTAAAGGCTGAAGTTTAACTGTCATTTTGATTTAGTCCAATATTTACTCAAAGCTAAACCATTGTCAAAACTTCAAGCACTTCTCAATCTCATTCTCATCCATTTATTACGGTCTGCATATTAAAAGGTGGATGTTAACAAAACCACAATCCTGTATATGACTATCACTTTGTCAGCTGTCATTGTGATTCACGATACATCAAAATATTCCTCACCCCCTCCAGCTGCAAGGGTTTGAACCCTAACTAATTTTCTTTAAAATGAGTGCGCGGTAAAATAAGAAACAACTGATCAACTCTTTCAACCTCACTCAAAAATGGAGCAAGATTACATTCCCTTGTTATTCCTCTCCCTTCACAAATGGGTATCACTAGGCGTTTAAAAACCTTCAAGCAATTTCAGGTCACTACGAATTACAGCTTTGAACATTAAGCACAGAAACAATTGCTCGGGGAAAATACAGGGCTTCCCCTACTAAACCCCTCAAAAAACCAGCAGTTACAAAATGGGGCGAAAATGGTGAACCTGTATGTCTCCGAGAAGTAGGCCCATGATTTCTTCCGTCTCTGTAGACAATGCATGAGTCAGGCAAGTTAGCCATACTTCCTCCGTCACCTTCACACTCGTCAGAGACATCCTTCTCTCGCTTTCTCTCCCTCAATGTATCAAATGTTAGTATATGCAAAGGCCGGTGCGAAAGGATTGTGGTTTTCTGCAATTCGGAAAAGGCGTCCACGACGGAGGAGGGATTGAGGGAAGAAGCCGCCGGATCGGGGAATCAGGAGCTCCGGAATGGATCCGGGAAACCTATATATTCTGCTGCGGTCGATTCTTGTTTTTTAACGATACGGCCCGTCCTCCAGTCCGTCGGAGTTGAGCGGGCCGTCAAGATTTGGAAATCGCAAATTATGCGCTTCTGGAGAACCATTGAGCGTCACTACACTATTGTTTGGCTTGAAATAAAATGGGGAGAAAGGACAAGAAAAAAAATGACTCTTTTGTTTGGATGAGATAAGAAAATGATTCTGTAACTCTGTAAGAAAGAAAATGATGAGAAAATGGTCAAATGAGAGAAAAATAATTGTTATTTGAATAATTAAAAAATGTTGAGAAAAGAAAAAACAAAGAAAACATACATTTTCTCAACAAAAGAAGCAGATAAAAGATGCATCCATTTGGAAAAGAAGTGGGGAAGCATAGAAATGAGGTAGAGGAAATGCAACTTCCTCATTTTGTTTCTTTTCTCAAGTGAGAAATTTTTTGGAAGAAAGATCAAAGTATGACTAAAACATTGAAAATATATCAAAATAGGACTTCCATGTTTTTATTTTTGAAATAGGACTTAAAATGTATTTAAATTACCAAACATGGTCATTTACATTACCAAAACGTATAGTAATGTGCACATGTACAGTGTTAGATTACAACCACATTACCACAATATGAAGTGTTATTTTGGGAAAAAAACATGAAAGTCCTATTTTAAAACTTCTCTATATGTTTTAGTCCTATTTAAGGTGATTTATACATTTTTTAGTTCTTAAAGCCCTTTTTTCATTCCTCTTCATTTTCTCTCGCAACCAAACAAAAGAAAATACCAAATGGCTAACTTAATTCCAAATGGGACCACATAGATAAAAAAAAGTCTAAAAATTTATCAAAGCATACGAGGAATGTGCAAGGTTTAGAAAAACGAGACGAACGATGTTGATATTCTTCCGAGGTAGGGGACTGCTTGGTATCAAGATGGCAGACACCAAGGCAGAGTTCCTCTTGATTTATGGAAATTTTTAAGTTGTTCACCAAAATGCCAAGGACGATATTGACATGGAAAAGATTCTCCACCGAGATTGACATGGACGATATTGTCGGCTCATCGGAACAAAGATCTAAGCCTCACATGAACCTAGATGACGAGGATGTCATTCCACACCCGATCAAAAAAAAGAAAGCAAAATCAATTGCGTCGGGTTCTGGGTCCAACTTTGTTTCCTCTCACGATGATACCAGGCGACAAATGGTTGAACAAATGCAGTTGTTTAATCTTTGGGAAGATGAGAGGGAGAAACAGAGAATAGAGGTAAGCCTGTAAATGGATAGTCGAAAATCTGATTACCGTCCGCATCCGTATCCGTTTAAAAAGAAAAAATCTACATCCGTTTTAAATGGATATTATCCGCATCCGATCCAGGATAACTGATTACTAAACGGATGCGGATTTGGTATTTATGAATCCGATCCGTTTAAAATCCGATCCGCATGGACATACGTTTCAATAACCGTTACCGTTTATCCGAATAACCGTTTATCCGAATACCAAATTAAAATAAATATAATCTTGTTATGTATTTACCCCAATTGTCAATCCAATAAAGTTGGGCTATTGGCCCAATATGAGTATATCACAAATCTAACCCTATCACTACCATTCAACAAACCCGTAGAAAAGAAATCCCTGGATCCGTTTGTATTCGGTTAAGAGTGCATATCGTATGCTAACATGGGATGAGAGTGTGGTCAATGACAGTGGCTCGAAATCAGTGTGGCGGAAACTCTGGCAGTCCACACCACACCTATTATTCGTAATCTCATTTGGCGGGCTGCAAATAACATAATGCCGGTGCTAGATAATCTTGCACGTAAAGGGATGCCGATTCAAAATATATGCCCGTTGCGCCAATCCTCCGAGGAGACGGCGTTGCATCTCTTTGTTTCTTGCAGCTTTGCACGACCGATGTGGACAACCTCTATCTTGGGCTGGTACACGCCTCATGTCAACGATTTCGTCGCTTGGCTATAGAACATTTTCAACCTCTTCAACCAGAGAGATCAAGCATTGGTGTTTCACATATTGTGCTCAATATGGAAGACCCGAAATGACAGAGTTTGGCGGGGTAAAAACTCGACCCCAATAGGTACGTGGCTAAAAGCTAAAGCTCATTTTGAGGAGTGGTGGTCGTTAGCTCCGCCAATGGTAGGAACGCCAGTGGGGGTCACAGGAAGTTCACGGTCAAGACCACGTGATGGATTTGTGAAGGTTAATATTGATGCATCCACAGGCTTGGTTGATGATATGATGGGAGTGGGTTTCATCGCTCGCAATGACCTTGGAGTATTTTTGGCGGCTAAGAATAAATCTTTTAGGGGCAGCTACGGTCCCAAGGAGGCAGAGGCGGTGGCAGTTAAGGAGGCCCTTAGTTGGATCAAATCAAAAGGTTGGATGCAGGTAGAGATCGAAACCGATTGTAAGGAGGTTGTGGATGCACTGAATAACTCTTCTGATGATTGGTCTTATTTCTCTTTGATTATAACTGATTGTAAATCCCTATTGAATTCGTGCGATGGAATTTTTCATTTTCACTTTGTTTATCGCCCTGCTAATGAGGTGGCGCATGTACTAGCGCTAGCTTCTCATTCACCTCAGAGCAAGGGAGAATGGAACATTTCTCCCCCTGACTTCATCATTTCATTAATAATCCCTCTGTCCCCAATTAGATTACAATATTCTCTCTTATTTTTGTCCCAAAAAGGATTACAAAGTGTTTACTTTTACACTAAATAGACTCTTTTACCCTCCCTCCCCTTTATCATTTCAATGTCAAATCTCACCCACCACCCATTCCTATACTATTTGGGGGTAATTTGGAGAAAAAATAATGACTTGACTCTTCCTTAATTTTGTCTAAAAAGGAGTATTGTAATCTAAAAGGGGACGGAGGGAGTATAATTTTATTCCCTTTTCTTTAAAAAAAATCCCTAAATCCCGCAGGTCGCAGCCCGTCGTCTCCCAGTAATCGTCGAGTCACAAAGCAGCTCCCAAAAGAGCTGTAAACGGAATCGGCAACCATCTCGCTCCAAGGAATCGGCAGCCATCTTGCTCCAAGGAATCGGCAAATCGCTCCGATCTTTCTCGTCGGTTCTTGACGAGCCATACGGCGGACCGCCATCTCCTCGGCGCTTCCTCCGACGAACGACGGCCTCTACGTCGAAGTTTTGTCTCAGGTATGCCTCCGAGTTGCTGCAATTAGCTTTAGCTATTTATATATGCAGATTTTGGTTCAGATGAGAATGCAATCTAATGAAAGAAATAAGAATGAATCTGGTGCATTAGATTGGGAGATCTAAGGGTTAGGATTGCATCAAAATTAGGTGCACCAAGATGGTTTGAAAATGCATCATGTCGAAATGCACCATAATCCTTTGAAAATGCACTATCTCAAAATTTGAGTGCAGAATGTAATCTGAGCCGCACGATGCATCAGATCCAAAGGCCAGATTTTATTCTTATTTCTTTCACCAAGGTGCATTCTCACTTGAACCAGCCCCTATATATGCATATATTGATATATATTTTGAAATTACCCGAGTTGCTTTAGCTTAATTTATGTGTGTGTGTGTGTGTATATATATATATTACCCGAGCTGCTGCTGTCCAAGTATATCAAGAACCTAACTCCACAAGAATGAGTTTTTTTGGTCATTTAACCACTAAGTAATTAAGTATCTTACAAGCAATTTGTTCTTCAAATATTCGAAAACATTTAATCAATTATTAGCATCAAATTTTACAGACACTGTCCAGATTTATAGTTTTTCTAAACTAATCAAGTGTTTTTACCATCAAAGCAATAAAAATCGTTTTCTGAGAAAACACCAATATAAATCTCCTTTTCCCGATTATTTACAAACAACTGCTTTGATTGTTGATTTTCTGCCATTTTTTTTATGTGTTTGATATTTTTTGTAGACAAATAGAACACCAAACTCAACAAAGCATCGGTGCTTCTTCACAATCAACTGCAAACACTAATGTTATTACTTCCGAAGCAGTTGTTCCAGATCAAGGTACAGAACTCAATGCTAAAAAAAGAAAGTTGACTTCTCGGGTTTGAGATTATTATGACAGGGACTGTCTTGGAGGTGGTAAAGTTATTGCAACTTGCTTGGGATGTAAATGAAAATTCGATGGATCAAGACTGGTACTACTCACCTGAAAAATCATAATGATGTTCGCCCTCTTTCTAAGAAATTGGTTGATATTATACAAGTTTTTATTGGAAAATCTATAGATAATGTCAACCCATCTAATAAGATTAAAACACACAAGTTTGATCCATCGGTTCAAAGAGCTTTGTTTGCTAAAATGATAGTGAAACATGATTTTCCTTTTCTTATGTCCCAGTATGAATATTTTAGACATTGGATTTCATATTGCATGTCATCTTATAAATTTCGCTCAAGGAACACAGTGAAAAATGATTTGATGGAAGTTTACAATGAAGAAAAGAGATTTTTGGTAAATGTTCTTGGAAAGTTAAATTCACAAATTACTCTTACAACTGATGGCTGGACATCGGATCATCAAAATCGTGGATACTTTTGTGTGACTTCTCATTATATTGATTTGATTGGATATTGCAAAGTAAATTACTTGCTTTTCATGTTGTTGAATATCCACATAATGGGTTGCGTTTATGTGATTGGTTGAAAAATCGTATTCTTGAGTGGAATATTGATGAGAAGTTATTTTCTGTTGTCGTGGATAATGCCTCACAAAATTTTGGCATGTTGGATGGCATTAGGGATTGGTTGAATAGGAAGGGTGCACTTGTTCGTAATGGTGAGATGTTTCATATTCGATGTTCTGCTCACATCACGAATTTAATTGTGAAATAAGGAATGGATGTGATTCAAGAATTAATTAGAAAAATTCATGATAGTGTAAAATATGTGAATGGGTCAGTACAAAGAGAAAACAAATTCCATCTTGCTTTGGTTCAGACTCGACTAAATCTAAAGAGACGAGTATGTTTGGAGTGCGATACTAGGTGGAATTCAACATATGATATGGTTATGAATGCCCTTGACCTCACAGAAGCATTTAAGCGTTTGGCTGAATTAGATAGTAATTACATTTACTTGCCATCCAAAGAAGAGTGGGAAATTGGTGCTATGATTTATAAGCATTTGAAAATTTTTAAAAATGCAACTGAAGCACTTTCAGGGAGTAAGTATCCAACAACCCCTCTTTACTTCACTTTTGTTTGTCAAATAAGGGAATGCTTGAAAGAGTGGTGTAAGAGTATTGATCCTGATATTTCAACAATGACACTTCTTATGCAAACAAAGTTTGATAAATATTGGGATGAGTGTAGTATGGTTTTGACAATTGCTTCAATTCTTGATCCTAGGTATAAATTGACACTTGTTAAAGCTGCTTTTGGGAGTAATGATGATGTTAATCCAAATAGTTTTATAAGTAGAGTGCAAACTTTTTGGAATGATTTGTTTGTGGAGTATGATGATCAAGTTACATCTGTCGATGTGGGTATTGCTATGTCTGATTCTTTTCGTCGCATTGAGAGCTTGTCAAATGATGAGACTGAGTGCCCTCTATTAGCTAGGTTCAGGGAACTTGCTGCTCAGTCTAGTGCCACTTCCATTACTAAAAAAGTGAGATTGATTTGTATCTCGAGGAGGGATTAGTGTATAAACCGAACAATGCATTTGATGTTTTGAGTTGGTGGAAGCATAATGGCGGTAGGTACCCGATTCTTTCAAAAATGGCTCGTGATATATTAGCAATTCCATGCACAACAGTGCCTTCTGAATCTACTTTTAGTCGAGCTCGTAAAGTTATTCAGGATACACGTGCTTCACTTAACTCGGACACAGTTGAGGCTTTACTTTGTGTGAAAGATTGGTTGCCTACTATTGAAGGAGAAGGTTAGTATCATCTCACTTTTTTTAATAAATACTATTTACAAGAGAACTATATATATATATATATATATATATATATATATATATATATATATATATATATATATATATATATATATATATATATATATATATATATATATATATATATATATATATATCTATATATATGTTTTGTAATGCAATACATATTACATATTCTATTTTAATCTTATAGATGTTGAGTGAAGGCAAATCATTGAACTTTGGAGCATGAATAATTTATGACGGTAAACATCTATTACTATGCTTAATTGTTTGTGTGGTCCTAATATGTTTATTTATTGAATATGTAATTCTATTTTAGTTTAATGAACTAATTTTGTGTACATGTTGAAAATTGAAGATGTTCTTGCTAATGGTTTCTTCACCAACATCTAGGAACTACAAAAATAAGTTGTCATACTGAATAAATTATTTTCCTGGTTCTTTTTTAGAACTTTGTTCTTTTTGGGTTATATGTTGTAAGAACATTGCATTTAAATTTGTTGTTGGCTTGTTGTTGGAGTGTTGGACAATTGACAATTAATATGTTTGATGCTATGTTTAATTTCTTTTTTGATCTGGTTTGCCATTTAATATTATTTATGATTCGGATAATCGGATACGGATATTGGATTTTTGGATTTCTAATAGTGTAAACGGATAATTGGATATTCAGATTTTACGAAACTCGGATACTTAAACGAATGTTTGGTCGGATACGGATATATCCGAATCCAAAAAAAATCCGACGGTTTCAGATTTGGATGTGAAAGTTAAAACATCAGTCAGATTCGGATGCAGATTCAGATGATGTTTCGGCTAAACGGATGCGGATACGGATGTTGTATATCCGAGGCGGATTTTATCCGTTTACTGCTCTAAATAGAGGAGATGAAAATATTGAACACCGACCTTGATGTGTTAACTATACAAAAAAATAATTTACGAGAAAAAGCAAAATGAGACCAAGGCTAAATATGGATGGGAGAAAGGTTTTTTTTTAAATAATACTCCATTTAGTGTAATTTTTTGTGTAATATAAATTTTTCATTTAATTTAATTAATTAATGAAATCTTATTGATTTAATTTTATAAAATGTATATTTAAGCAAGTACTGTAAAAGTTTAAAGCCCCAATTTGAAATCTAAGTATTTCCAATGAAAATAGTGTGTAAGTTAGACATGGCAGAAAGAGAAATTTGAAAAAATCCTGCCTTAATAGTCTTAAGACCCTAAGAGAGTTTCTGAAAAGCAAAATAAATCCCATTTGTCCAATAAAAGAGTCTTTGTTCTCAGCTTGCCCTGTCCCAATGCACAAGTCATCTCTTCACACAAAAAAAAAAGAACCGTAGATATATTTTATACAATGTCTGGAAGTTGCATGTTAATAAAACTTAAAAGTTGTACACTCATCAAAGTGGACTATGTTTGCGGGACCTCCAACATAAGGTGTCAAATTAATCACTATCATAAATTCATCATCAATGTGAACTTGATCTATTGCTGGTACGCCTTGCAGAATGCCACCACCATTGTGATCATTTGATCTTCTTGACAGAGAGTTTCAATTGGTTGGTCATTCGTCATACAGAAAAGAAAAGGCGAACTCGCGTTCCAAAACTTCATAATCAATTGATTCATCCACAGCCTCCCAGGATACACTTTCAAAAAATTCGAAAAAATCGGTGTAGGGGAAAGGAGACCCAGATAATGAGAAGTCATTATCGCTGGAATCGTCCCCAAAAAGTGACTGATATGCACTAAGAGTGTCGTCAATGTTACTTTGGTGCTGCAACCTAGTCCACTCGGACTCACGCCTAGGATTTGTCTCAGATGGATGCCGAGAGGGATGCTCTTCTCTGGCGTGCTTTCTTAGCTCGAAATACGTACCAACGTAATTGCATGTCTCCAACGAACAAGTCCTTGGGAAAGAATTCATAAACTGCCTAGCAGCCTCTATGACAATACATCCTCTGATTTGACCACGGCAAAGAGGGCAAGCAAGTGCTTGGTGGCCTAGAGGCCTTATATGAGTCGCCGCATGTACTGCTTGGTCCATTCTACCTCCAGCAGAGGATGTTGCCCCCGGAGCTGATTCTGGAGCAGCAAACGACTAGCGGAATTGGTCGAGGCAATTTGAGTGGCGGTAACTCGTGTCGCACATGTATGGCCTACAACCTTTTTCTGTAGAGGTACAGAGCAATAGGACAGCATTGTGAGGGTGCTCCATACATATTGGGCACCTAGCTTCCTCCCACTCTCTTTCGTCCCCTACAGTTAGGGAAGGCTTTTCAGACTTGAGTCCAGTAACGCTTAAGCTGCATGGGCGATAAGGAGATGCCCTAGCCCGGTTGGTTGAAAATGATCTCGCCCTCTCTTTTGGCATTTTGCAAGACCTGAAAGAGTTATGGGTTGCTTTATACTTGATGCAGAACTAACATTCAAAGCAAATGATTTTTTACTATAGCAAATCGCAGCACTAATACAATAAAGCTAGTTAAGCATCAGGGTTTATATTGTCAGGTTGTATCTTCACGGTGGAATCCTTGCCGTGGATAATGATAAAAGATTACAGTAACAGTGAACTTACGAATTTGAAATTAGCTCCCTACAATTCTCTGCCACCAACCTTCTGGAATTCTTCTTATCATTATTAGGTCATTACTCTAAGACATTTCTGAAACTAAAAATAAAATGGTGGTATGCTTCTAGGGGAACAGCTCAACTAAATTCAAACTTGTGCAGGTCTGATAATATTTCACTCAAATAAATGTTTACAGAAATAAACTGTTACACAACAACAAACCCAGTATAATCCTATCTCAATTGGGATTCGGAGCAGTAGAGTCATGTCTCTCGAAAAAAAGTGGGAACACAGTCCCAAAACAGCTTATAAAGGTTCAAAATCAATACTCCGGTATATTCTTCACATTCTTTCATTGAATAGAGTTTCATATTCAAGCTCTCTAATAGTTGATTTGATAACAGAGAATAATTTAAACTCAACTTCGAACAATTCCCATTTGATTAACTGTTTTTACGGCTGCGTTTGGAAAATGGCAGTTCAGCCAAAAATCAGCTGTTCTGAGCGACAACGGCTGTTGGACTATTTTAACAGCTAAAGTTGATGTTTGGCAAATGGATGTTACCGACGGCTGTTGAGTCTCCAAAAGCCAATTTTTGAAACGCTAGCCTCCTTAGCGTTTTAGTTTGGCAGTTGCTATTATTACTTTTATGTCCTTATTTATACAATGCCTTGTTGCAAATCTGATCTTGTGGTGGACACAAAAAAATATATATACGTACAAAGAAAAGGAAAAAAAGGTGTGGAGTTTGTATTTGATTTTTTAAAGCAAGGGATGTACGAAGCATTATTTGTGGGTGGCTATTGAGCAAAGTAAAATTATTTTTACCACTTTATACTTGAATATAAATATTTTGAATACGTAAGTACCAAGTATGTATAGAGTAACTATTTATTTAAAGTTAACTAAATAAATATATGAAGAAAAAGAATACTTAAATAAACTATATTATACTCTATATTATATTAAATAAATTAAAGTCTACTTTGTATTTTATAAAAAAAAAAATTATTACGGAGTTATATATAAAAATGTCTTTAAATGTAATTTTATACACGATAGCTATTTTGGAATAGCTGTGTTTGCCAAACATTTTTTCACGAACAGCTATCACAACGTGTCGATCAGAACGGCTAACTCTACCAGCCGTTTAAACCAGCCAATGGAAAAAGCCAACAGCCAACCGCTAACTACCAAACAGGGCCTAAATCTCGATTGCTTGTAAAGTAATTTGCATCCTAAATTAAAAACCAATCAATTTTACAAATTAACTTAAAATTTAGTTCACAAATCCAATTAATAAAATACAACAATAACAACAACAACCTAGTTGGATCCCACAAAAGTAGGGTTGTTTCCCACTTTTGCCCCTACTCAAAAGTAAGGAGGTTGTTTCCAAGAGACATTAAAGTAGAGAAAGCAAGGAACATACAAAGCATACACGGCACGCAAAACACACAACAAAGCATACAACGTACACAAGTGTTGTCACATAGTCCAAAGCATCTATCCAACTACCCTAGTCCTAGCTTTCCAAACACTCATATCTAAGTTCATATCAACACAATGAAAAAAGTTCTAAGTCCTGTCGAATCACATCTCTACTCCTACCCCTATCCCACCCTCCAACGTAAGCCCCTTGCATCTCCACACAGGGCGCCAGCACTTCTCCGAATCACATGTCGAAACCACCTTAGTACAAAATAAAATAATCAAGTAATCATTAAATAAATATACTTCTTCCCTCCACAAATAAATTTCTCGTTCACTATTCAAAGGGTCAAACTTTATTCACTTTGTTAGCCTATTTTCGTCACCCATTTGACAAAATAATATAGTCACGTCACCTCTAATTTTGTAGATCTTTTAATATAGTTTTTTAATATGTAATTTTTATTTTTAAATTTTACACCATTTTTTATATAAAATGATTTGAAAATAACTTCAGTCAAACATCGTAACGCGCAACGGGAAGTTTATTTGTGGGTAGAGGGAGTAATAAATAGTATTTCAATCTTAACTTGAAAAACAATCTAACATTCTAACAAATAATTCACTAATAAAAAATTTAGAATTCTATAATACAATTACTCAAATAATATAAGCCAATAGTATACTTCTGTAGATTTAATTTTTAATAACTTTTAAAATTTGTAAGTGCATTTAACTAACCCTTTACTAATTACTCTCTCCATTCCTAAAATATTGGCACTTTGTGCAAAACGAAGCAAAATTTCAAGCTTTTTCAATTCATTTTATTTAAAAATGATAGAAAAATAAAAAATAAAACGTGCATATTTAAAAAATACATCAAAAATTCCACAAAATAAGAGGTGTAAAGAATATTAAAAGTATATTTTTTCAAATAAACAATGAAAGTACACAAATAAAAAAATTACTGTGACTTTAGAATAACACCTAATTTTTTAGGGATGGAGGGAGTACATTACTAAAAACTTACACATTCACAGTGAATAATAACCTAATGATCACAAGAAAATCCATAACAAACCTAACGCTCACAAAATCAAAGTTCACAAATGCACAAATCACAAATTCAAAGATCACAAAATCATAATTGATACTTGTCTAAAATTATTAGATAAATACGGAACATTAAACAAATCCAAGGAAGAATAACATGGAGATGGAAAATTCAAAGGTTTACCTTGATAAAATAGCGGTGAGCAGAGGCCAGAGAGGCGTCTATTTACCTTGAGAGGCTCACGGCGGCGTACGGCGGAGTTAGGCGTTCATCTCTTTCTATCTGACCATCCGCTCCGCTGCGTGAGATGTCTGGCGTCTGCGACTATTCGCTGGAAATGTAGAGCTTGTTTAAATTGTATACTCAGGTCCCAAAAAAGAATTACACTTATTCAAAATCACTAAATTTTTTATTTATTTGTACATTTTTATTGATTGTGTAATAAAACTAGATTCGTATCCGTGCATTGCACGGTAAGAAATTATTCCATATTTTAGGAATACAAATGTTATCAAATGTACTCTACGTATGAAATGTTGAGTTATTATCCGTACGAAATTTAATAAAATATTTTAGGACCATGCTACATTTACACTAATTTTTGTATCCCATTTGTACACCGCAGTTATACACAAACATTTTGACGGTTTACACCGACACAAATGTTGGTGTGCTAATAAAAATTTACACGGACACAAAATGTTGGTGCGTTAACAAAAATTAGTTTTACACCAACACAAAATGTTGGTGCAAAACTGCGGGGTACAAATTGGGGTACAAAAGGTTGGGATACAAGTAGCTTTATCCAATATTTTAAAACATCAACGTATAGTGTACGATGAAGATTTGGTTCAAGCTCGATTTGGCACACAAATTTAAAACTATGGAATTGGGGACAATAATTTCAATTCTGTTTTTTGGTAACACAAAAATATGTGGATTTGAAATTGGCAGTGCCAAAAATGAATTGAAATTAAAGGATTCAATTTCATCCAAATCAATTCAATAAAATTTCAACTCCCAATTCAATTTTAATTTCGTCAATTCAGTATACCAAACGGACCCTAAAAGTCTGGAGATATATCCCTTATACGATTAAGACTTATCAACTCGTCGAAACTTTATGTTCAATTTGTGTTACTTTATATATAGTTTTTCAATGATTGGATTTCATCCTTAAGAGATTCACATAGTATTTTTAATGTACCAAAGAGATATGACATCAAGCATTAATATTTCAAGATTATACGTAATTTTTAAAATTAAATTTATAATTTGTTAAAATATCAATGATTATCTTGTTTAGTACTCCGTAGGATTTAGAATATCAAAAAATTCTATCACACAGATAAAAGAACATCAAGCAGTTCAATCAAGCTTGAAAAAAATCTCTTCGTTGCTAAATTTTCTTCCCACTTTTGTTAATTATTTGTCTATAATGTTTCTTTTCACTTCTTTTTTTAGTAATTTTTTTTCTTTAAATTAGATTATTATCCTCACATTAATCAATTAATTACTATTTATCCTGCTATCCATATATTTTATTTCACTTTTTGTAATTAACCAAGGACAAATATGAAAACTCAATATATTTTCTTTTTTATTTGCTTGTAACATTAAACGGAAAATTAATTTATAGATAAGGAATGCCATTTTTTGGCTCAAGAAAATCAAGTAGCATGGTGATCACTTAGTTCTTTTAATTCTCCACAGTTTAAGTACTCTAGTTTCTATTTTTGCGTGAGATGAAAAACTGCTTCTCCATCGGTCCAAAAAAAAAAGGTGGAATCGCCCACCCCAGGCGCCCCCACCCCCTTGCCCGACAGGAATGGTGGAGGATGTAAATCATGGTGACTCAGTCGGCCAAGAACGCTAGACCCGTGCCCACCGCGCACAAGGAGCCTCCTCACCCTTTATGGGATTTTTGGATAACTCCCACACTGCCGCTTGCGGGACTCGATCCCTGGTCATCGGTCCAAGATTTCACGCTCTTGACCAACTGAGCTACCCATGCGGGCACTGCTTCTCCATTATCATGTAGTGGGAATTGTTTGTCTTGTACTATTAAGCTGAAATACGGTGTATCATATTGAAAGTATTTATTTCTAAAAAATTAAACCCCCAATATTTTATACTGCACATTACAATTATAATTGTGCCAATCCGACTACTCTATTTTTGTCTTGTTTGTGGAACCTTTTAAAATGCGAAAGATGCTAGAAGTACTTGGTGTGTCCTAAATATACACCAGAATCTAACTTAAAATAAACAGATATGACGATACAAATAATTAGACACTCTTTCATTTGTATTGCACAATGCATTGAAAAACAACCTATGCATCAATCCTGCGATGCATCAGAATTTCATCTTCACCATATGAATTACTACTTTAAATTGAGTTGTATGAATGCAGAATATGCTTTGGAAATGAATATATTTCAATGAAAAGGCAGAAGGTGAACATGACCACCGCCAACATCTCACCCCCAAAATAATGGGGAAAGAAAACAATTAGCATTTGGTTTTGCCTCAAAATACAGAAGAAAAATCATGTTAGATTAATACGATTTTAGAATGTGATACACTTATACATATGTATGCAACCTTGAGATTTACATAATATAAGTATTATTTTAAAAAAAATTGCATATCAACAGAAATTGGATTAATTGGGTCTAAACTTTTTCCCTCTTTAAGTTCATTCCCTTTCAAATTTCCTATTATTTGCTAAATTACCCATAATAATTAGGTGAAGGGGATAACCTTATATGACATGATTAATCTGCATATTCTAGGGCCATCTCTGACTCTGGGTATCAAGCATGACTCACAATCTCATATTGGTGTTCCCCAAGAAGCTCCACAATATTCAACCAATCTTTAATCATTGTAAAAATAGAAATTAAATATTAAAACAAATTATAATCAAAACCAAAAAAATAAGTGAACATATGATATTTTCAAAAAGATTAACTTTAAGCAGAGGGCTATAGAGGATCCATTTACCCTCCAAGACACCCATTAAAAGCTTAAATGTTCTTCCACATGCCCATTTATCATGTGCAAATGCAATGGAACGAGTTATATTTGGGTGCTAAGTCTTAAGTATTATTGCATCTGATAACCTCTCAAAACTTCACATTAACAATGAAACATTTGGCTTCGAAAATTAACAAAAAACATAAATTTAAAGCAATGAAACCTAGTAAATAAAAAAACATATACAGAATAATAGAATTAAATATGAGATCCGTTGAAAGTTGAAAAAATAAACCCTTCACAATTCTTTACCTTCTCTACATCAGAGATAAGTGAACAACACGACACTAAGCTTCTATCTTTTTTATGGGAACCAAAAGATAAATTAATACCCAACAATTAAAGAAAGCAAAAGTCTCATATGTTTCAGGAAGCGCAGTTATTTAAGCACGAATCTTATCTATATCGAGTTCAACATCTACTTTATGTTGCCCCGCACATCCTCTATGGGGGGAAGGTAGAATTGAAACCCTAGCCTAGCCCTGTTGACTTTGCCTCTAACAGTAGTTGCACCATCATTAGACAAAATTAAAACTCAACAGCTTGGGTTAAGCCACTGCTTCAACGAAAGAAATGACTAGTGCAAGAACCCTAGACTTTGTGTATGTTCCTATTATTCAGTTTTGAAAGTTAAAACAAAACCTTATTTTGTCTGGTTCAAAATAGGAATTGCTTAAAATAAACAAAAGAGAGATCTAGAAGAAGCTTATGATTGACTCTAGCGAATGGCAAACAAAGAGAGCACGACTCACATACGGGGTTGAGAAATCCCAATTCCGAGAACTAGAATTGGAATTTAAAAAAAAGGTTGTATATTCAATGGATGATAATAAATAAACTAACATATTGAGGATGAGGAATTGAGAACATACTTGCGGCATATTGGTTTCTCAGTGTTGTACTTCTTAGCCAATGCCATCAGAGACGGCTCGATAATTCCACCACGAAGCCTCAACACCAGATACAGAGTAGACTCTATTTGAATCCCAAATCAAGAACCAACAAAGATCAAATTTCACGGCGATTGAATCCAAAAAGGCATCAAGAACAAAACCCTAGATTAGACGTTTACCTTTTTGGATGTTGTAGTCGGCAAGGGTCCGGCCGTCTTCAAGCTGCTTCCCGGTGAAGATGAATCTCTGGTGATCCGGCGGAATTCCTGTAACAAAATGCATCGAGATATGTACTTTTTTATAAATAAGGTCGAAATTTTGTTTCTTCAAAAGAAACTGACATATTGGATGTAGACACCAGAGATGTTCTCCACACACCCTCTCTGTACATCTAAAATACAGAGTCCAATATACACTCGAAATGTGTCATCCGTAGTATGCAGGAAGCTTCACCAGATTTTTGATCGGAATGTGCGCTCCAAATCTTGCGACATTTACAGAGTACAGTTTTAAAGGGGAAAAAATTCAAACTTAATAGCTCTACATACATCAACCAAAAGAGAGCTTCGTTGGGGTGAGTATAACCCTAGCAGGTCAGTATAATATACCTGCTAAGCTTATCACTTTTTTTCACCCTACATCACCTGTTTCTAATAACCACAAATTTAGGCAGAAGGTGACCTACAATTCCATCTTGTAGTCTTCCCAACTCAACTCCACAACCCCATTTTTTCTCTTTTGCTTCCTAGATTATCAAGTGTTCCTCCTCAAAAATGACATATGGACAAACAATAGGTGAAGTATTCTCCACGAGCAAAAGGTTTAAGCTCCTATTATAAAGAAAATGCTCCAAGCAACTAAAACCTCATTCAAGTATACTCTAGCACTCTAAAAAAAATCAAACTCAAAGAAAACTAATGTAACGCCCCAAAACATACCCTAAAATTTTTAATGAATAAATATTCAATTAGTCAAATTTGTTTCGATTAAAATAAATAGTTATTGAGCTTTGGGCCAAAATGAAATGTGTTTTGACATCCAGTATCACAAATCAGGATAAGTCTCATAAAGATAAATCCAGTATGTTGATTAATTGGGTAATCTTGGTTGGGAACCTGAGTACAAACCCAAATTAAGAATAAATGAAGAAAATTGTTTATGATGTAAACTTTGAAACGATTTATTGAAATAAATCATGAGAATAAATAATATGAATGGAATGCAAGAACCTTTTTGAGTAAAGGTCAATTAAACCAATTTTGACTCTGTCAAAGTCAAACACCCAAAAATATGATGTCAGAAAAAGTATTACAAATAAATATAATAAGTAAACCGTTGACTAGAATTCGTCTGCCTGATCGCAACGGTACAAACGGAATTCAATTCGGAGAAAGTTGGACCAAAAAGTGTACCCCGACTGGGACCAAATTAGTCCCAATCAGGGAAGAGTCGTAGCAATCAGACTAAATCAGCCGACCTTCCCATTCCGCCGATCGTGAGTCACCACTGACTCAACTCCATTAGCTTCTTCTTCTTCACCAATATATAAGGAAGACCTCTCTTCCTCATTTCTTCACCATTCTCCCTCAAATTTCTTCTAAGAGGTAGCCTTGAGTGTAAGGAGTGTTGTGGTGCTGTCAATTTGGTGTGGAATCACCGGAGCTAAGAGTTATCGTCACCGGAAGTTTCGTTGGAAAATTTCCAAAAACCCCGTTAAGCTTCGAGGTAAGCCCGTAGATATATCTAATGACTACAATGCTCATATAGATCGATTCTACGTTCATAGATGGTCATTTGGTTGAGTTTTGTGTTTGACATGCTTGAAGAACTAAGAATCGTAAACCATGATTTTATTGTTAAAACTATGAATTAATGATGCCAAAATGATCTATGAACCTTGGAGAACACTTTTATATACTTTAATTGAAGTTTGGTGAGTAAAAGTGACATTTCCGCAAGTTGGCTCGAGGTAGAAGACGATGGATAATCGATTATCAACTTGAAAATCGATTATTCATCATTCTGCAGATTTTTGGAACAAAGCTGAGCAACAGTTGATTGTCAGAATGTGATAATCGACTGTCAACCCTCTCTGAAGTTTGATAATCGATTATCAGAGTGTGATAATCGATTATCAGCCCATTCTGAACATCAGACATAGATTATCAGAAGTGACAGTAGACTATCTCCCTACACTATTGAAGAAAATGAAGCTAATAGCTAATAATTGAATTTCCTATCATATATTAATCAATTATTATTTAGAAAACATGATTTTTGAACTATGGAATCTTATTTTTGATACCAATAAATTATGATTAATATAAAGATGATCTCTTGAAATAAAAATGATGTTTTGACAACTAAGAAGACTTTACGTGATGTATGACGGTAAGCTAGGGTGTTAACACTCGACGCTAGGCCGCTAATTGTTATTGAATATTATGATGATTATTGTTGTGTATGACTATTGATGATGAACCCACTGATTAAAATGATTATTGTAAATGATTTAAACTATGATTTGAAATGAATACAACGATAATTATGAAATAATTTGGATTGATGAATTGTACTGTTAAGGATATCTAGAAGAACTCTAGGATATACCCATTTGGAAATTGGGGATGAACTATTAAGGATATCTAGAAGAACTCTAAGATATATCCCTTTTGATGTTGGTTTCTAATACTATCTAGAAGACCTCTAAGATAGATTAGAAATAGGCCTTGCGGGTATGATGCCCGGTGGCTAGGGTTAAAATGTACGTACGGGATCCAAGAACCAAAGTTGAGTACCTACTCGTTTGGGGGTACCACCCAACCCAACAGTGAACACTACGCTGTCGGTTTTTGGTTGACCTTAGGCGAAGGTAAGTTTAAGATTTGAAAACTCTTTTTTTAAAAAAATATATCTTAAACTAGGCCTAGCTTAAGGATTAGAATATCTTGAACTAGAGTTAGTTTAAGAATTGAATTGGCCTTAGACTAAGAATAGTTTAAGGATATTATTGAATGAGGATGTTGAATGTTGAATATGAATATTGAATGACGAATGTTGAATATTGATTATTGTATATTTGAACTGAATACTTTGTGCATGATATCAAATGATTTGATTATGAATTTGGGTTCAATTTATATGGATGTTCGACGCATTAGATATGCTTACTTAGTTTCACCGCTGAGCGTGTAGTATGTTTTATTTGCTACACACAGGTTAATAGAAAGAATGATGTGACGTGATTCTGGAGGCAGACGGAGGCGAGATTGTCGGAATAGATGTGATGGTTTTGAATTAAAGAACATAAACAAATTATGTTTATATTTATCAGCTATATTTCTAACTTCCCATTGTTTGTTATGGCTGTTGAGCCCTCTCACATTCCAACATACTATCATTGAAGAAATGGGTAGTGACCATAAGGGGATTCCCTTATTGGCTGTTCTTGGTTTATCAAATCTTCTATGGTTAACCTTCTTGCTGCCTTCTTTCCAGTGACCAGTTTGAATCCTGCCTCCTCTTCTTTATCCTCATTCTTGTCTCTTGCATTGGCTGGTGTATTATCCTCAGCCATTGGTTCCTGCCTTGGGGTATTTTCAATAGTTCTGTCAACAGTGTTATCATTCACTATGATCTTTGGCCTCCATATCTTCTTTTGTATAACTCTCTCCAGTCTGCCCTCTTTCTTCCTACAGTGCTCTCCAACATGACCCATTTTACCACATTTTGAGCATATTGATGGCTTCCATTCATAAGATACAGGCTGTTCAATCACTCTTCCCCCATTGTCCACAAATTTGATAGTATCTGGGAAGTCTTGATGCACCTGAACTTCAATTTGTATCCTAGCATAGTCCCATTTGGTCCTTGTAGCTGTGGCTCTATCCCTTTTAATAGGCTTGCCTAGGATACTTCCCAATTTCCCCAAACCTGAGAGGCTCCAATATTTAACATCCAATCCAGGGAATTGGACCCAGATTGGAACATATTCAGCTCCATTAAATTCAGTTGAGTCCCAGGGTGCCATTTCTGCACCATCATTGGTTTATTGTCGAAATAGTAATATTTCCTCTTCGCTACTTCATCCCTTTTCTCCGAGCTCTTAAAATGCACAATAAATTGTCCTTCCTTATGGAAGCTAATATCATCCACCTCAAAATCCTTCCAAATACGTGTGATAAATCCTTTCATAACCTCGAGCGGAGGGTTTGCACCAAGCACACAACAGATAATAGCACAATCCCAAATGCCTTCACTAACAATAATATCTTCTTCTGTGATTCTAGCTACCCTCTGTCCATTTATTTCATCATATTGCAAGAACGATAGATCTACTTGTACCTCATCAGATCTCAACACTTCAGCGTAAGTTGGCACTTTCTGGATTATATTGTTATCATCTTCTTTATCCTCTTGGTTCACCAGAATTTCCTGGCCAGATTCATATTCCGGTGATCTAGTTTCCAGTCCTTGTTTTGGATCGTTTCCGCTTGGTGTATTCATGGCGCTTCCAGCTTTCCCAGAAATTCCACTTGACTGAGACGGTGAGATTTCCTTTCCAGTCGTCGATTTCAGTGATACTTCTGGGGAATCGTGATTTTTCTTAGGTCTTCACTTCTTCTTCGCCGTTGGAGAGAAGAGAGAGTCCCTCGCCTTTGTTAAACGCTAAATGATCATTTCTAATATGAGGTTTTTCATGTTTAGTCCATATTTCTGAAATATTATCTTTGTGTTCCTTATTAATTGAGTGTCATTTCGCGTTTAATCTTTGTCTAATAGCATTGAGACAGAAGAGTAGATTGATGACTAAATGTGGAATGGTATCGATGTTTAAGGACTGCAAACATAATATTGGATAAAAATAGGCTAATTATGAAAAAATCCATAGTTATAAAAGATTAGTTATATAATTTACTATATTATTTATTACCTATTCTTATTATAATCAAGATCATAAACAACTTTAAATATAACTATAATTAGATTAAAAAAATCAAAATTTATTTCAATTAAACAGGAGAATAGAATAAACTGATATTTTGGAAATAGTCCATTATGGAATCCCAATGCAACTTTGATACTGTTTGAGACTATGGCACATTAGTATTTTGGTATTTCACAAAAAATTATCTCAACTCATACTCTTTGAAACTCGTCACATCAACATGCAAGTATCTTTTAACTTTTAATACTACCCTCTTTTTGGGGAATCATTTTTATATTAATTTTATTGATAATTACACCACATTTTGCTGGATATATCCTCTTAAAAGTAAGACTGAAGCCTTTGATGCATTTCTAAGCTTTTAATCAATGATCCATAATCAGTTTCGTACACAAATTAAAATTTTCCATAGTGATAATGGATGATAATATGTCAATAAAAAGTTTAGTTTGTTTTTACAAAGGTTGGGGTTTCTCCATCAAAAATCATGCCCATACACTCCTGAACAAAACGGTATGGTGTTGCCAAACGGGCGCACCGTCACTTGGTTGAGACTCTTGTTACCCTATGCTGCACAGCCTCACTTATAGCAAAGTTTTGGGTAGAAACATTGGATGCATCAAATTTTTTAATCAATCACATGCCAAAATGATCCCTTAATCACATGTCCCCATATGAGGCCCTTTATCACATACCTTCTGACTATTTCATTCTTCGGGTGTTTGGGTGTCTTTCATATTCGTGTCTCTTCGATGAAATTACCAACAAGTTCCAACCTTGCTCCAAACGTTGTATCTTCCTTGGGTATGACTCTTCCTCCAAAGGGTATCGTTGTTATGACCCTACAATTGGTCGCGTCTATTTTGTTATTCGATGTTAGTCGTTGTGCCCACGCCTTAGAGGGGGGGGGGGGGGTAAA